GAATGCTATGCACATACAAAAATGCGTTTATCTTCCCAGCAGACTGAGGTCTTGAATGTCTTTTTCATGGAGGATGTTGTATGTTCCCATTCCATCAATGCTGTCAGGATGAAGTGATTAGCCCATGTTTTATCACCAGTGACAGTTCAACCAAGGAACTCTGGACATGGAGGAAGTTGTTGATAGCATATTGGGATGCAAGGAATTCTTCTCCCTGAGGTCCTGGACCACAGACAGCATGTGTTACAGTGTAATTCCTGGAGCAGTATTGCTGGGATGGTCTTGCTCATTCATACAGCCCTGACACTAGTAACTTCATTTCTATAGGTCACTGAATATGGGCCTTAAAGAAAAACACTTTTCATGTTTATGACTTGATTCAAATGCTGAGCTCTGATGTATTCTCCATGGGAATCAAATATTTGGTGTAAAATGTAAATGGCTCAATTCCTCTGGTATTTGTGTGGAGAAATGAGAGTTTGTCCATTATTTGTGAATTACAAAAGAATTTGTCAGTCAACCTTTTCCATTTTATATGCATAAACATATGAAACAGTTATAATTAAATTAGCTTAAGTTCTCATAAATAGTTTCTTCATATGACTAGTTTCTGCTTCTACCTACCAGCTTCTGGCTGAGAGACAATTTAGTTTTAAACTTTATGTCATAACATACATCCTGTGTACTTTTTCCTGAGTAGGTTTCCGGAGTCAGATGTAATAGAACAATGGCAAAGTACAAGAATAAAGTATGATTCTGTTACTTCAAATGTTTGATATTGAAATGTTATACTAATATTATTTTGGACATTATCCATTGTCTGAATATGTTTCATGTGCATGGCATTTTTGAATTGGCTTAAGATGGTAGTAGAGCCAAACACTGAACATTGTATACATAAAATATGTCCCGTGCCGTAGCCGCACAGTTTGAGGCATCATTCTTCAGACCGGTGATAATGGAATGTGCGCTGGTTCGAGTCTCGGGGGAAAAAAATTTCTCATGAGATTTTCGACTGGTGTATGGGACCGGTGCCAACCCAGCATCATGAGGAAATTGGGGAGCTAAAATGGGTAGCGTAATCTGGTCATGAAAACTAGCAATGGCTGGGGGTTCGTCATGCTGACTACACGTCACCCTATATCTGATTGGATGATCGTTCACCTCTGCTTAGGCATGTGAACGTGAGGCCAGCAGCCAGCTAGTTGGCTTAGGCTCTCAGAGGGCTGTTATGTCACAGATTTTATACATAAAATATACATGCACAACATGATGTTAATATAATGAATTAACTACTGTTTGAAATCTTAAGGAATGAACACTGTTGTCAAAAGATTGTAACATCTGTTTTAATGTGGATTTATTGGATATATCACTTTTAGGTACTGGCATCGTTCTTTGAACCCCAAGAAGTTGATTGAAGTAAAGTTCTCACATTTAAGCCGAAACATGACCATGCAGCGAACACTGAAACTCTATAAGCTTCCAGAGAAAACACGGACAGCTGGCTTCCGCAAAATGATTGCTGCCGACCTTCCTCGAGCACATAGACTTTTAGCTGAGGTAAAATTTAAGTTGTGTGATTGGATAGATTGTGTAATAACAGTAATTATAGTAGGTTTCAATGAAGAAATAAATTCCTGTCTAATGTGCAAATTTATTATAGTCATATTTCATTAAATATCTTTATTCATTAGCAGGAGATATAATGTTCTTTAAGTAATATGTATTGTATCCTCTGTGTGTGTGTGTGTGGAATTTGTAGGTTTAGGTAAATTGCCTCTGATCAAAGAGAAAGTGTGTGAAATTAAATATTATTGAATACATAAAAGTAAATGTGAATGTTGTAAATTGATTGATTGAAGTTTCCTTTTGCTTTTGAAGGAACGTGCAAGATAAAATTTCTACTAGCAACCTGTTATGTTTTGTTTTAGGCTCTCTTGTTATAGCCTGAGCACTTAACATACTTTAATATGTTGGATTTGATTTTTGTCATAGTATTTGACAAGATTTGATCTAGCACCTACATTCTCGGAAGAGGATTTCCGACATTGGTTCCTGCCACAGGCTGGTATTGTTGATAGCTATGTTGTGGACAATGGCTCAGAACTCACAGGTCAGTTAAAACTGTGAAATTTGTAAGAGGTATGAATTTGTAGTGAAGCTTTATTTACTCCAGGAAGTTTTAATTTCAATCATCTCTAGTTTTACAGAATATTTTTCTGCATGAATTATTTGCATGTTCCATCTGTGAAATTGCTGATGGAGTTTTGATGAAATTTGGTAATTGGGGGGTCTCCAATAAAAATTGTCAAGTGAACTTAATTTTGTTTTATTGTTTAATTTAATTTATATATTAAAATAAGTTTTCGCTGAATTTAGTTATGTGTTTTAACCTGTTCTTTTTGCAGACCTTGTGAGCTATTATACTTTACCATCCACTGTTATGCACCACCCAGTCCACAAGACATTGAAGGCAGCATACTCATTCTACAATGTTTCCACAACAACTAGTTTGGTGGATCTCATGGGTGATGCCCTTGTTTCTGCCAAAAATGTAAGTACAAAGCAATTGGGCACAAGAAGATATCACGGCTACTAGCACAGGCATGTCTCTGTGACTTTCATTCACACTTGCATCTTATTAAACATAAAATAACTGGACTGTTATGCTGGATATGTTTGTGCTTCAACTGGTAAGTCTGGTGTGCTGGCACATGTTGGATTATGTGACTGATTCAGTAGTTTTGTGCCAAGGTAGTCATTGGAATTTACTTTAATTTTTGGCTGCAGTAGGTTTTTTACTGATAATCATTTTGCTTATTTCTGAAGAAACGAAGTGATGAAATGTTGAAATAAAAAATGAGCATCAGCTTTTAGTGAAGTAGGAGAAAATGCTGCTAATTTTTATAGCAATTACAGCAATTTTATGGTGAGGAATCAGTGAGTATAATACAGGTTTTTGTGTGGTTAACTGATTTCAAGATTGGCTGGAAGGTGTTACTTTTGATGAAAGGTCTGGCTGTCCCACTACCTGAACCAGTCCAATTGTGGAAAAGTGACTAAAATTATGAGACATGGTTATTAATTGACTATTAGAAAGATGTGAATAGAGGGACAGTGAGGTTAATTTTGACCAAAGATCTGAGCATGAAGGATGTCTGAAAAAATTACACTGCAGAAACTTAGTGGTGAGAAAAAATTGGAAGAAGTTGCTCATACTGGTGATGAGATTTTGGTTCTCTAGTATGCCCTAGAAAGAAAGCGTGGAAGTCTTGAATAAAAAGATTTAGAGTCTTTGACTGGAAAAGTGCAATTGTCAAGGGGAAAGATCAGAATCATGTTGATCTGCATTTTTGATACAAATATACTATCAGTTCAAATTCTTCCTTTAAAATTGTTGACCAAACCTTTTGCAGTAATGAAAAAGACAAAATCTGTAGCTGCATGAGTGGATTTGCATTACAGTACTGTGGCTTCCCACTCTGTATTTTAGGTAAAGGAATGTTTGACCAGAAAACAAATACTAGTTTTGGAACATCAACTTTTCTTGCTTGATGTGGCCATATGTGACATTTTCAAGTTTCCAAAACTAAGTCTCATTTTGAATACTGAAGATATTCATTGTGATTATAGTACTGAAAGCAGTTTTTGAAAATGATTTTCATCCAAGTCCTTGGGCATGGCAGGGTTTGAATTTGACCACATCCACTTAAAGTTTTGATAGCCCTTTTTTGCAGAATTTGTTTTTTATTTAATTGTAAATTGCAAATTTTACTGATTCAACACAAGTTCTTCTATATTACAGAGTGGCTTTGATGTTTTCAATGCACTAGACCTCATGGAGAACAAGGAGTTTCTGGAGACACTGAAGTTTGGAATTGGTGATGGGAATCTTCAGTACTACCTATACAATTGGCGTTGTCCATATATTTCACCCAATAAAGTATGATGACTATTTATTTTGTCTGTATTTATGTGGTGAATCCTTGTTTTTTTACTTGTGCCCCATGTCAACTTTTGTCTTTGAGTGTTGAGGCTCATAACTTTAAGTTATTTAGTGATGTCAGAGACAATCCAGGATTCTTTCCCATGTCAATTTTCCACACAGTTTAATCATATTGTAAGCCTTGGATGATTTGTATTTATCATGTATAGTGACTTTTCTTATCAATGGCATGGCCACTCATTATCGTCATTATTTTAAAATCACTTCTATAAAACGAAAATGATTTTTGCTGTCTGCACAAAGAGAATACACAACAACCCCCAAATGTGTAACAGTTGGGAATGCTGGTCATGGGCTAAGATTACACTACATAAGCTAAACAGTTGCTTGTGGTATACAGTGACCTTGAAAATTTCTTTCTTAAAGTACAAGTTCTCTAGTATAAGTGTGCTGCATTCTGTGTGCACTTGATTCTGGAACATTGCAGTGATGCAGCTTTGCACTTTATTAAATAAATAGATCAGTAAATGTGTGATTTAAAGTCCATTTCTACAAAGGAATATTTTGTATTTTCTAGATTGGCCTGGTGCTTCAGTAACAGTGTGGTCTGGTGATACTGTAGCAGTGTGAACAAATATTAGTTCTCAGAAGAGTAAGTACTTTTCATATTTGTGATGCTAAAGGTTTGTGACAGTGGTTAACAGGGATTTTGTAAAAGTTCAAAGTTGAAAAGTTTTAGTTTGTAATTTTATGTGTAGTAATGTCTTGGAAGTACTTTCAGTGTGGATACACGTGGAAATTTCAAATTCATGACTCCAACCTATATCTTATCTCCTCCTATAATGCACAAGTGCAGAAGTTGGACAGTGTTTCCTGGAATACATTCATTGTTTGTATTATACCCAATACTGTGTTAGTAGAGCTTTGCAGAAATTTGGCAAATTGCTCACTGGAACCAAAAACAGATGCCGACACATTTAGACTAAGCAACATTGCTAACTACAAACACTGCAAATTGCAAACTCTCTTCATATTCTTTTAGTTATGACATTTCTGTCATATCATACTGCTCATGGCCCTATCTTAAACTTAGCATTTGTTTTATACATGGTTAATTTTTGATAGGGTGATTGATGGCCTTTGTATGCATAGCCTGTTGTGTTATACACAATGGTAAAATGCCTTTCACCCTCTACAATATAAGGGGACTGTGATGACTTATAAAAATTTGCATTTTTTATACTCCAAAATGGTATTAGAAATGTTCTTCACAACCTCTAGTATGCCATAAATAATGCATGTTCTACCCATTTCCTGTGGAGTGAGATCTGAAGCATGATTATTACCATCTTGTTGAAGGTGTATTCTTTGCTTAAGTCTAAATTGAGACCAGCTTGTTTCACTGTGTACTGTATGACTGCAATAAAATAAGTACAGTGTACAACTAGAACTTCATCACAGAAAGAGAAATCATTGGCACCATCAGTTTGTTCATGTTATGTACATGGAAAACGCTGCATAGACAAGTACATTTTTTGACACAGTATAATGAGTGATATCTAACTAGTTGTGAACTTTTTCTGTAAATTTTTGAACTGACTATTTTTAGCTGACAGTCTGTAAAATTACAAGTAATTTACCCTCTGTTCCTTTCTGTAGTCCACATTCCAGAATTTATGTTTTGTCCCGGAATGAAATCAGTCATTTTATTTTTCACACAATTACACTGGGCTGACTGTAACTGGAAGTGGAGTGGCAACATTTTGCCACTGTCTGTGGCTTCCATGGGTGACGTCACAGCAACATTTTGCCACTGTCTGTGGCTTCATGCTTACGACTTGAGCTAAGAAAATTTACCACTCACCTGTAGCTCCAAATCACTGTTCTGCAATTTATTGATGCCATATAATTCTCCATCACCGTGAAAATTAAAAATACTGTTCTTGTGAGAGGTCACTAACACATTCATAATATTTGCCATGTGGTAAACTGATTGTTTTTTCTGCAGTAATGGTGGACAGACCACAGTACACTTTTTCAACACTATTCTGCTGTGGGGTTTTGTAGCTGTTCTCATGCTTCTAGTTGTAGTGAGCCCAGTGTAGTTAATGTTTATCTGGTTTGTGCATTGTTAAAATTTAATAATTTACAACCTGTCTCTGGAAGTTTTATATAGAAGTAATATTATCTTGTGTGCGTACGTGGTAGGCCTGTGTGTCATCTTCTCTAAACAAACTTTGGCCAATAAATGACCTGTTTATCCTAAAGACTGTCATCATCATTACCATTACCACCACTAACATCATCATTGTTGGAATATTTAAAGGGGGCAAAATTTACACGTGCCAGGCAGCAACCCCTTCCACTGTAACCACATCAGAAAGGTGCATAATATACACATATATATCCAGTAATATGTGGAACGTGTTTCCAGTGGTCTGTATAATGTGTGAGTCTTGATTTAGTGCAAAAGAATGGGAAGAACTGCATATTTATTGTAGACAGTTTGTAGTGTGAAGTAAACTGGTTCATGATAAGGCCTATTGAAATGGAATTTCTTAACCAGCTAAGTGACTTGGCTTCTCAAGATGGACTGCTCCATGGAGTTAATCATTTTATCAAGCTGCATTAACCCCTTACAGCATGTAAGTGGCATACTGCAGTGCCTCTAGTTGCCATTTATGTCGTCAGTGTGATTGTGCTGCAGAAAAAGAAGAGAGAACAATGTTATTTCCTTCAGCTGTCTCATAAGAAAGAAGTGTATGTTGATATATAATCCACAGAACAATGGTTTGGAAAGTTCAAGGCTGAAAATTTTCATGCTGTCTGTTGATAAATTAAAATAATGAACTTGGGTTTCTTGAAGCTTTCACAAGTGTAACTTGATGTTGCTCAGAATGACTGCTATCTTATGTGGATGGTGGGTAAATATTTGTCTTCAGGTAGAAAGAAAGGGTACATGTTAGGCAAAGTTAGGCCTTATCTCTGCTGTCCATCTTCAGATAAAAAGAAAGACATCTTACTTTGATGCCAGTTGCGTTAACCTAGGCCTTATTATTTGGCACTAAAAGAGGTTAATGAGATGCTGCTTAGTGAAAGGACTAGCTTTATCTAACATACCCCACAGAGATGGTACCCTTTTGCTGTACCTGTGGATAGGAGACAGAGTGCACTTCTGAAATGTCATGTATAATTTTATCCAACTATGTTAAATAAATGTCCGTGTTTGACTACAAACTGAATTTGTTAGTGCACACAGTTTGACAATTATTTTTGGTGAATATGTGAAATTTGGGATGAGATTAGAGAATAAATGTAGCTAAAAGTGTTCTATAAAATTCCTTTTCTAATACAAACATGACACCATACAAAGCTGACAGTTTTAAAATATTTGAAGTTGATGTCAGAGGTAATATTGCACATACCATATTTATCCAAATATAAGAGAGAATGTTTTCTAATTTAGCATCTGAAGAAATAAGCTTCAGCTTATAATCACAAAACAACAGAATACTTCACTGGGACAAATGCTTACATGACTGCTAATATAAAGTACTCATGTTTGTAGTATAGGAAGTGTCTCAATGTGTAACACCAACATTTATAACTAGTTGAACTGTGTAAGCTTTCTTATTTCATAAAAAAAATAGTTGTTGGGGAAAAACCTGATTCAGCATTACATTTTTGCCCATAAATTTAAGTCCTATATCTGGGTCATCCCATGTTTGGGTAGATATACTAATTTTTATAGATTTGTAAGTTCCACTGTCTATAAATGTGGAAACATTTGAAGTACAGTGGGTGCCATAAGGTGTTCAGAATATTTGTTTTCTCTGATGGTGGTGTCCATTGCCTGTAGGCATCTGAACAGGAATTCCAGTGTGTACATCTTCTCAAGAACACATACATCCACAATCACAATCATGGCTTTCATAACACACATTAATATTGATGCCCACACTAATGAAAATCATTGCTCTGGTCTGTACTATGCTATATGTAGGATCTAGCCCTACACAAGTATTATATTCTTGTTCATCTTTGCTTCTGATGTGTGGCATGGAGTAGGACCAGTAAGTTCCTGCTTAGTTCATTGCAAATATTATTGTATGTGATTTATAGGTAAACAATAAATGAAGTGTTTTAAAAACTAATCAAACACACTCTATTTTTAGGGTACTAGTCAGTGAAAGTTTATTATTTCTTTTTACATTTTATTTACTTGATGACATATGGGCCTGCGTTAGGAAGTGCAAACCAATGAAGTGGAAAGTTTTGTGTTTTGATATGAGAAATACTAATCAGAGTCTTCTTGACTGATCAGCCATGTGAGATTAGAGTTGATTTCCAGCCCTTGATATTGCAAGGCAGAGACAATCTCTGAAACATTGGCTATCTTACACAACTGATTGCCCAGGAAGACTGTTGCATCTGGTTACTGTGAAATCTTAAAATCTTGCATATGGGAAATATATTAGTGCTAATTTGCGATTTTAATTTACTTTAAAATTAACACTCTTTTGGAAATGTGCTATTAAAGCACTTTGTAATGAATAGAAATTTTCAGTTTTAAGAGGCTAACATGTTTTATAGTTGGAGTAGTTTGACATCAATCCTGCAATAATTGCAATTCAAGCAGCAGATGTGTCTTCATGCATTATGCATGATGGTTGTACTGTTTTGTACCTTATAACAGTATATTATTACTGAGCTTTAAAATTGGCCTTAATAATATGATTACATCCAAAATAAATGTGAAATATGATACAACAATTTTTTTTATTTGTATGGTGTGCACATCAGTAAGATTATTTATGTGTGGGTAATCAAAATATATTGTAACATTGATAAATGAACATTGAATTAACAGACTTTTCAAAATTTAAAAGATTTTACATTCTTTGTTCAATTATTTACAAGAATATATAGTAATTAATTTATTTATTTATTTATTACAGAATAAAAATCTTCAACATGTCACATAAAATAAAGTTAAAACTCGTTAACTTCTCACATACCTTTATCCCATACTATTTCACACTGATGGAGTTAAATCACTTACTAATAGTAAAGGAGGACACAGAGGAAGAGAGACAGTATTTTATTTCACATGCAGAGGACATATACATTAATACAGTCATAACAAAGCATTGTGTTAACAAAAACAAAAGTAAAGAAATATTAGCATTGTTAAATATCTGTTCATAGAACAGAAAGAATTGATTATAGTAGGGTACAAAATCAGCTGGTGGCAGTAAGATATAGAGACTAAGTACAGGAAATTGGTTGTGCAAACCAAAGGCTGTTTATAATCAAGATATTTTCAGTTTGCATATGCTTGGGTTTGAGTTATGTTAAAAAACTGTGAGAACTTGTAAATGTAAATTTCTGTGAAGTACAGTACTACTAGTATAATGAGAGATGGATCAAAAAGCTCATTGTAGCCAAGAAACTGTGGTACATTGTTATGATATTGACTCTGTTTTACCCTTTTTACTAGGTTTATTGTTCTTTTATTCTAATAACATTTCTCAACCATCTGAAAAAAGTGGTTGTCACAGTTATAAAATGAATAAATTTAAATATATCAACAGAGCCATTAATAGGTGATTCACAGAAGCATGCAGGAATCATTGCATGTTGAAAACATTTTGTTATGCATAATTACTTATTCTCCCTAATTTTGTATAGATGTAAGTAGTGTGACATGAAGAAGCATGTCATCTGGTTGGTATAGGAACATTATGGAACAACAATGAGAATATGTGGCCGGATTTAATTAAAAGATAATGCTTTTAATGCTGATGAGGCTCATTTTTGTCAATAGGGACTAATTATGTACTATTGGTCAACAGTACTATGCAACTTCTTCTGTTACTTATTCATGTACAGTGATGAAATTAATTACTCAGTATGTAAAGATTACATTATGTGTGCATTAATGAAAACAATTGATAACAGAACCAGAACTATGTTTGGTGAAAAAAAAAATTGTGTCCGTCAGAATTCCAGATATTCAAATGCAATTGTATTGTTTTCTGAAAACTTCTCATCATCCATGAAATGTACATTTAGCACAAATTGTATGTCACGGTAGGGACCTGTGACCAACTCTTGTGAACATGATTCTCAACACCATGGAGTTACTTGTCATTAAGATAGATTTTATTTTATAAAACTTCCTGGTGATATTAATAAAATTTAACAAACACTTCTTTCTTACTTTATGTAAATTTGGAGTTCTAATGGATAATTTGGACCAAAAGAAAGAATTCCTGACAAGTTATATTTTTTTTACTTTCCATACCAAATTTAATCCAAACCAGTTAGGTGTTACTAAGTTTATGATGTGTGTATATAATGCTTGAAAGTATGCAAATTCATGTTGACATGGTATTTCTATGTGACTCAATTTTTAAGATCATTTGATTGAATTCTTACTGTAAAATTAGATTTTGAGGTGTACTGAAGTTTATTGTTATGGTATTATGCTGTCTATCATGGTTAAAAAATGTGGCTATTTAATGGAAAAGTAAATATATTATGTTAGTAGCCTCATAATTCAGATGTTACATATTATGTGAATGAATGCCTGAAATGACATATTTTATGTATTATATATATTAGCTGTACCCTTAAAAAGTTCTACTTTCCTTCCGAATTTCTGAAAACTGTAAATATACTTTCAGTAAAGCAAAACATCTTTAATATTTATAAAATTAGCAAGACATGCACTTTTTTCTTCAGTGAAGAAATAGATGTTAAATGTTATGTATTTAATCATAATGAAAAGATCATGAAAGAGTCTGAGTTGGCAAATGAAATGTCTGTGACAGACTAAGAGTCACTCAGTCACACATGGTTCTCAGTAATCAATCTACTCAAATCACCTTTGGGAAGGCAAGGCTAAGCAGACTCCATCTACACATCGGTTCCCTGATGATGAGGACCAAAACAGTTCTTGAAATGCTGGTTCTTTGCGACACTTGGCACAACTGCCTGAGAAGACTTCATTGAATTTTAACTATTTGTTGATGTTGATCTTCTGAGTTGTAATGCAGTTTGGACTTGTGGATACGAGGTGCGATCGGAAAGTTTCAAGACTGCGCCTATTTTTTTAAAAAAAAAATACCGTACACTTATCTCAGGTATTAAATTCATCCATCACCCTCGAAGTAGTTCCCCTGGGAGTGAACACAACGATCCCAGCGCCGCTGCCAAGCCTGGAAGCATCCCTGGAAATCTTTCTTTGTCAGCCTGTCAAGCACCACCTGCGATTCTGCCTGAATCTCTTCTATCGTCTCAAATCTCCTTCCCTTTAGCTGAATTTTCATCTTTGGGAAGAGGAAGAAGTCACACGGAGCTAAATCCGGCGAATAAGGAGTGTGCGGGATGACGGCCATGGTGTTTGAGGCCAAAAAATGCCGAACTTTGAGGGCGATGTGCACTGGCGCGTTGTCATGATGCGTCGCATGGGGAGTTCTTCCTTTAGAATCAGCTGACAGGTCCCAAAGCCTATCCCAACAATGTCGCACAAGACGTTGATGGTACGACGTCGATCTTCGTGAATGGCCTGCCGAATCTTCGTAACATTTTCGGGCGCTGTGTTCGAAGATGGTTGTCCAGAACGCTCGTCATCATCATCGACAGAGGTTCGGCCATTTTTAAAACGTGAATGCCACACAAAAGTTTGTGCACGACCCATTGCGGACTCCCCAAATGCTTGCTTTAGCATTTCATAGATTTCCGTAGCCGTTTTGGTGAGTCTTTGGCAAAATTTGATGCACACGCCATTCCGAAAGCGCAGGAGGGTCGGTGTAATGCACTACCAAAACACCCGTAACTAAGAAACAAATGCTAATTCGATGATGCCGGCTGGCACACTGATTCACTATGAATGTAGGCCGCACCCCCTAGCGGCAGAAGCTTGTACTACATCCGGTTCGCCCTCTATTGACACAGTCTTGAAACTTTCCGATCGCACCTCGTAGATACAAACATTTCAGAGAATCATTCTGTCTCCTGAACAGCTTCTGTCCTGTTCCTCCAAAATATTAATATCTTCCTACAAGTCCTTATGGTATTACAACCCAGAAAACTAATGTAAACACATGTACTACTATGAAACTCTATCTCATTGAAGTGGAAGGATCTGCTTTAAAGTTTCTTGAACTGTGTAACATGCTTATGCATAATACTTTTACTGTCTTCACTCTTAACAGTTGAATAGTGATACATTTTTTCAGTGAAGAAATAGACATTGAATGCATATTATTATCTAAATGATGAGAATAAAAGTAAATGTGAAAGTTTGTGAATTAAATGTCACAACTCATAGTATGTTGATGTTTTTAAATAATTGTTTACAATATGAATTTTGACGTGATATTTTCCAGCTCAGCAGTATTACAATTGATCCAGGCAAGGATTCTTTCACACACAAATGTCAACTGATACGGAATTACCTTTGCATAACATCATATCAAGCACTTTATTATGGTAGTAAAATTTTGATTGAAAACTAAAACTAAATAAATAAATTAGATGTAGCACACCTATATTTTCTGAGACCACTACTAGACTTCACTGTATTAAACTACCAATGCCATTTTTACACCTGTGAGGGATTGAAAGTTATAGATGTGTTTGAAGAGAGAAAGGATACCAACACAAATGGAGAAATTTGGAAAGAATTCAGCAAGACATTGCCTTCTGCATTTGGAATTCTTTTACTATCTGAGGGAATGCCAAGACTTAGGATGATAAAAACTGTAGTGGAGAGTCCAAGAATATTTGGGATTTATAGAAATGGGACTTAATGACGTAATTGTACAAAATTCATGAGGATTCTTCAGTTATATAAGTTTTATGTGTCTCTTTTAACTGAATAATTGAGCACAGTAGAGATGGGGTTTTAAATCCACATAATATATATCTTTAGACTGAAGTAACTGTGACTTATAACATTTTAATTAAATGTATTTAAAATGTTTTAGACAAATTCTGTAATGTTTACTTTGTGTGATTATTGCCATTTTCATCATCTTAGTAATTCTGCATGGCGTGGTAATGCCTGAAACTCTCAAAACACTGGCAATTTCCTCATTAGTATAAACACCTCAAGCACAACATGAATTTCATCCACTGTCACTGGTTTCTAAGGCCACATTGAAGATGAGTTGCTCTGCCTAACATTTGGCCTAAATAGGTATATATTTCACAATTTTTTATTAACAGATAGTTCTCTAAAATGTTGCTTGTGCCTTGTGCCCTGTACCTTGCAGCACAAATCTAACAGTGAAATGTTTGCTCTGTGCTATATAATTTCACATGCCTTCTTATAAGAAATGTCTAATGTCATACCCTGCTTGCTTTATTGTCATTTTTCATTAATGTGACAATGTATAATCATCTACAAAATTTTCACTCTGACTGGATCTAATGGACTCATGTAAACTCAGAAACCCAAGTGCATATTTTATCATGGCCTGAAGATAGGCTTTCATTCAGTGCATAAAAGGAAGGATCCACATGAAATATTATTCTTTCTGGAATTAAATGAACAGTGTCAGATCTGTCTGTGATAACATAACGACCATTGTCCAGCACTTATAAAAGCTTATGTAATTATAACACGAAACAGAACCTCGTGACATACCTAGATTTACAAAATTCCCCTAACTCAAGTATATGCATCAGCCGTACATGAATACAAGAAGGATTAATCAAAGTTTGGTCTATCATATTCCATCAGCAATAAGATAGAGGACTTTGCCTGAAAAAAGGCTGGATATTTGATTTATACAATGATGGTGCAAAAGACATTGCTAATATTCTGAGTATGTCGGAGAGTGGTATGGATGCATGGATCTAATGGAAAACTGAAAACAGTAAAGTGTTAATGTAACCTAATTAGATGTGAGGAGATTATTAAATGGCAGCTGTTTTCTGGGTTGTTGCACCATGTAGCCTGGACATCTAACCAGACTACACAGCATAACATCTCAGAGTCACTGCCATGAAAATCTCAAATCCTACAACAGATGAATAGTTTGTGTCATCATTTTCCATCATCTATCAGAGTCCATGAAAAACATGAAACATTACCGTCAAAATAAATAGGAGTTGTAAAATTCACCAACTGCACCGATGTTAGGAGTGGGAGTTGAAATTGGATGGCAGTTAACTTTGTTACCGATTGAGCTGTTGGCTATCTGCTGTATTAGTTTTCTATACCAATCAGATTGTTTTTATGGTAGCTTCACTATCTCTGCGGATAGATGGTAGCACAATAAAACCGTGCCTTGCGTTGCCGAAGTTCGTATCGTTTGCAGAAGGGGTGTAATGGTGGTTGAAGGTGTAGTTTCTGTAATTATTTTTTTGTAATTTCGGTATAGGTAATAGTATATTTTTATGGAAATGTGTACATCGTGTGAAGACGCCATTTCGGATTTTGTGGGCAGACACTTGGCCCTTCTTGAAGAAGAGAGGAAAGAAGAATGCGAACAGGCAATTAGGTTAATTACTACTTCCCAAGGTATCGGTTGTCTGAAAAATGTATCAGTTTTTTCTTATAGTTCATGTTTAGGCGGATACGTGTTAGTTGAGTTTCGAAGTGCCAAAAATAGTGTATTACAAGTACATAGTCTAGCATGTAGAGATGTGGTTGGTGTGATAGAAGGATCCAATATTCGGGATACGCCAATTGCAACAGGTGTTGTTAAATTCAGTACGAACGAAGGCATTGGAGTTTCATTTGAAGATATTGACAATTTCAGTGAAGAAGATGGAGTTGTTTATACACTAGTGAAATTAGCAAATGATGTAACCTATTCTCGTTTAAAGTCTAGTTTAAAATCTTTGGCTCAAATAAGGAAACCTGGTAAAGTACTTACAGAACTGTTATTTGGCGAAAATACTTGCTTGGAACGAAGTTCACTTTCTCCCCTCGTGCTTAATCCCAAGGGAGAGATAAATTACATTAATGACAGTCTCCATGCAGATCAAAAAGAGGCAGTCAAATTTGCACTTGAAATGAAGAATCTGGCTGTGATTCATGGACCACCTGGCACTGGGAAGACAACAACATTGGTGGAAATAATACTTCACATGATTCAAGCAAGAAGTAAAGTTCTGGTATGTGCCCCATCCAACATAGCTGTGGATAATTTAGTAGAGAGGCTGGCCAATCACAATGTGAAGATGGTACGCTTAGGCCACCCAGGACGTGTGATGGATAGTATAACAAGATATTCCTTAGATGCTGTTGTGGATACCAGTAGCAGCACACAAATTATCAAAGATGTCCGAAAGGAAATGAATTATGTTTTGAGAAAGTTAAAGGCTAGACATCGTAACGAGACATTTTCTGAACTTCACAGTGAATTAAAGTACCTTCGGAAGGAACTGCAGCAAAGAGAATCACGTGCTCTGAATGAAGTGTTGCAGGGATCAGATGTAGTGCTTTCAACTCTTGTCACATCAAGTGATGTGGGACCTCTTAAACATCTTCCTGATGATCACTTTCATTGTGTTATAATTGACGAGTGCTCTCAGGCGTTGGAAGCTGCATGTTGGATAGCACTTCCAAGAGCTCCTAAAGCTATTTTTGCAGGAGATTACCTGCAGCTTCCACCTACGGTGATTAGTCAGAGGGCTGAGCAGGGAGGTTTAGGTTTGAGTCTCATGGAGAGAGCTGTGGAAAAATTCGGAACTGAGGGATATCGGTTACTGAAGCGTCAGTTTCGAATGCATACTGATATTATGACTTGGCCATCCCAGGAGATGTATGGAGGACAATTAGAGGCAGACCCATCTGTTGCAAGTCATTTACTGAAACATCTTCCTCTAGTGAAGTCTACGGATGAAACTGAAATGACTCTGTTGCTTGTAGACACTGCTGGTTGTCATTTAGAAGAGGAGGATTTTGAAACATCTCGATGTAACAGAGGAGAAGCAGGTATCATTGCCATTCTCATAAAAAAACTGGTAGCTGCCAATGTTCAAGAAAATTCTATTGCTGTGATAACTCCGTATAATTACCAGGTGGATATGATAAGGGCTTATGTCACTCACTTAAAGGGCATAGAAGTGCGATCTGTGGATGGATTTCAGGGTCGTGAAAAAGAAGCCATTCTGCTCTCTATGGTTCGATCAAATCCACAGAGGGAGTTGGGGTTTATCTGTGATCGGCGCAGACTAAATGTTGCAGTTACCCGTGCTCGGAGATTTTTGTGTGTTGTGGCTGATTCTAGTACAGTGTGTTATGACAGCACATTGGAAAGTTTGATCAGTTACATTGGTCAGCATGGTGTTGTCCATTCTGCAGAACAATATTTGTCAGATATGGAAACTCCGAAGGAAGTCCTACAAAACCTAAAGCTCCAATCTCATAGGAAGGTAAAAAATGAAAAAGGAGCTCAGATGAAACCAAAGAGGCAAAAGAAGAAGAGTATTGAGGCTCAAGAAAAGTTGGATGTGAATATTGCAAGTGAGATGGAGAATCAGCAGGCAGAAGGTGAACAAGTAACAGAGGATTATTATCAGTCATTTCTTCAAGAATTTGTTAATAAATCAGAGCAAATGGAGTTGAAGTTTCCAAAATCTTTATCAGCATATGATAGAAGATTAATTCATGAAGCAGCCTCAAAACTTAACCTTCTTCATACCAGTGTTGGTAAAGGAAATGATAGGTACATTGTGGTTAATAAAGTATCTGCTGCTAGACGATTTAATGGAAACATGAACACTTTAGACAAATCTAATGATATTTTGGAAGATAAAATTGGAGAATCAAATTATTTCTCCAGTCAGCATGTAAAGTGTACGGCAAAGCAGGTTATAAATCCTTTAGCAAATCTGTCTACCCCAAAACCATATGGGCATAGTGACATGAAGAAATCTGAATATAAGAAAGGTGAAAAAGCTATTAAAAAATCAAGAAAAAGGCAGGAGCCTGAAGATTTTGATTCTGTAATTGCAGAGTTTCAAGAAATGGACAAGAGATGTTCATGGAGCAGTTGCAGAATTCCAACAGATTTAGTTGGATTAAGTTGTACTTATTGTAAACAAAGATTTTGTATAAGCCATGGCCTTCCTGAGGTACATGGTTGTGGAGAGGCTGCTCGCAAGTCAGCCAAACATGAATTTCATCATCCTAAACCAGTAAAACCTGATCTTCTCAAGAGAAGCTCTCTGAGCAAGAAGTTGGAGAAGAAACTTACACAGATGGCTGAAGAAAGGAAGTCTCAGAAAAAGGAATCTTAAAACCCTTCATACTATGCAGTAGTATAATAAATATAAAAACCAACTACTTTTACTCACTGTTTTACTAGTGCAAGTACATGGCATTGGCTCTCAGCAACAACCGGGAATAATTCAATTCATTTATTTAAGTGTTTACCAACAGCAAGAAGCCAATAACAGGCACACACTGATAATACATACAATAATAATGAAAAATATTTCAGAAACAGATTAACTAAACATAGGGCAGTCAAAAAGTTCCCGGAATTCCCCTGCAGATGGAGAATGAGCGATAAGATAGCGCACGCAAGTGTTGTGGTGGGCAGTTGAGCATGTCTGCTCGCAGTGGCAACAGGTCTGGACAGGTTTCGGCGTGCCGTGTCGTTACTGTTCAGTTTCAATTAGACGTGGGTGTAGGTCATTCGGCGCAATGTCGCAGTTCGAACAACGTATAAACGTCAAGTTCATGTGCAAATTGGACAAATCTGCTGCAGAGACGATATCGGCCCTGCAGCAAGTTTACGGTGATACTGCACTAAAGAAATCCGCAGTTTACGACTGGTTTTCCCGGTTTAAGAATGGACAGAGACGTTGGTGGATGACCAGCGCAGCGGGAGGCCTTCGACATTCAGAACCGCGGAAACGATTGAACAAGTGCGACAACTGATTCTATCTGATCGCAGGATGACCATCGTGAAGTTGGAGCATGAAGTTGGTATCTCTCACGGATCCATTCATGCAATTCTGTCCGACGATTTGAAGATGAGACGTGTCAGTGCGAAGTTCGTTCCGAGGCAGCTGACTACGGATCAGATGGAATGTCGCACGATGGTCGCTGGAGATCTGTTTGAGAAAAGTACGCAGGACCCGACGTTTCTCACAAAGATCGTCACTGATGATGAGTCGTGGGTGTTCGCCAACGACCCGGAGACGAAGATGCAGTCATACGAGTGGCACACAGCGTCGTCTCCCCGACCAAAGAAATCCCGCCTCGTCCGATCAAAGGAAAAAGTGATGCTCATCGCATTCTTTGACATCGACGGTGTGGTGCACC